ATGGTCACTTGCTATCTGATTTGTTCAAAAGTTTAACTGTTCTGCGTAACATTAATTAATTAAATTAAATATTTCCTTCTTAGAAAGAAGTTGTAAAATGTTATTTTTCTCTGCAAGTATAAAGCATTGCTTCTAAGACTTTGCCTTTCCTCTGACAATGTCTGTTGGGAAGCCAGATTAGAGCAAGAGCAAGAACAAGAAGCAACCCATTGCTTTCTAATTCTGCCCTTAGTTTGATTTGGCTTCAGAATAGAGGCAGAACTAGAAAACAGATTTCTGCTTCTTTTGAAGGAAATGCAAACATGTTTTTAAAAAGAGAAGACGCTATGATGGTACAGGGCTTTATCGAGTGGCCTCATCAGCACCACTTGAACTGAAACCATGGCTCAGCCCTTCCAGCTTATCTGTGGTACTAAGGTCCATTAGATTCCCATGAGTCTAACTAGATTCTAGAGAACACAGATGCATTTACAATATTTATGCCATGACACTCAGAGAAGAAAAAAAGTATTTATCTGCTGAGTGAAAGCCAGTGGAGTTCTTTAAGTCTCTCAGGCAGATGACACAACCCTGAAAGACCAGCTGGAGCTGTATAACTATCTAACCTCTAATGCAACCAGTTTTCATAAGGCTACTTTGGATGGTACTGTATCTAAGGTATCCACTGTGTAAAAACATCTGTATGAATCAATTTAGCTATCTGCCTCTCAAGGAAGGCAGGAAGAAGTTAAGGTCCTTGGATCACTTCACCACACTGCTTTCATTAGATTCCTCTGTAGCTTGATCTCCAAGGAGTCTATCCTTCCAATAATTTCTGAGATTCTTAGAACTTCTCTGCAGCCAAAATAGCCTTCCTCCCATGCCTTTGTTAACAGAGGTACTGAGGTATTACTTAAGAAGCTATCTCTGGACCTGACCAATGTTAACAAGTATGGATGATGCCCAATATACAGTTTTTTTAACCAAGCTTTTGGAAAAGACAATTGCATTGCACTCCAGGAGCTCTTAGAGGAAACAAATTATTTAGAACCTTCCTGGTCTGGATTCAAAGCAGGATCTGCCATGGAGATAGCCTTGATTATCCTGATGATGATCTAAGGTCAAGTAATTGATGAGAGGAATACTAACCTGTTTGTATTTCTGGATTTCTCAGTAGCTTTTGACACTATGACCATGATGTCCTATATAAACTTTTGAAAGAGCTGGGAGTCAGAAGTTCTGTGTTTATTTATGGTTCCACTCTTTCCTCTCTAAGCACTTTTTAAAGGTGGAATTGGGAGAATTCTGCTTGACTCCTTAGACATTGTCCTGAGGTCATGCACAGTCCCATTTGTATTATTTAGTATTTATCTGAAGCTGCCTGGAAGATCATATCAGGGTTTAGAGTCAGTTGGCACCAATATGCTAATATTCAGCTGTACTTCTCTTCTTTTCTGTAAGCTGTGCATTGTATATTTCATAAGCCTCCATATGTATTTAGAGACTCGGTTTGGAGAGCAAGTTGAAGACAAACTTCTCTGAGTAGGAATTGTGGCTGATTTCAGGGCTAGAGAAGCTGGTTCAGGATTTGGAGTGATAGGCTTGCTTGGGATGGAACTGCACTTTTCCTTAAAGATCAGGTTGCAGCCTAGGAATCCTCCTGGACCCAGCTTTGATGCTGGACATTATCTCCGGAAAATAGGGCTTTTATCAACTTTGGATAGTAACCTAGTTGTGTCCTTCCACACAGTATTGCTACTGGAATAACATAGTTTAGGAGGAACCATGGAATCCATTGTTACATGAATGGCTCAGAAAAGCCTCAGCCATCTGAACACCTCAGCAATATGAGAGAAGGTTGACATTTCTTTCAGCAAGCCCAAAGCAAAGTTTGCTGTTCTGCCCTCAAAATCAGTAACACTCTGCTTCAGAGGTATGTGGGATAGTGGCAAACAAGCTTTACAACTAAGCTAGCCTTCCAGAAATGTAGCCCAAAGTAAATCTTGTGCAAACAGCTAAATGGTCTGAGCCAGTAATAATAAATGTATGTTCACCATTCACAGTTAGCAGTTGAACAACTCGGCTGGTCAAAAAATTATCTGGCATTTTACTGACAGGTTGTATGGCAAAACAATTAGCATCGCCACCACTCTTTCAATTATTCCTTCCATCCCAAGCCCAAAGGAGGATGCTACAGTGTTTGCTTTTGCTCATTATCTGACCCAAATGTTTTAGCAGTCAAGGAAGGTGCCTGTTGAAGTGTGACTTGACATTTACTTGCATTTTGTTTCCCTGCGGTGCAACTTGGGCTCACATTTGGCTGACTTCCTGCTTCGTCTATCAGGTTAACTTTATGAGATATTTTTCTCTTCCTATTTCATCCTCACATGAGAATCTTTTATATTTATATTTAT